ATATATATATATATATATATGATTGTATCGTTGTTGATGAGACTTTTGAATGTAAAATCCCTCCATAAAATATTAAGTCACATTTGTAATCGCCTTCCATCATTATAGTGAAAAATCAGAGTCCCAAATCGTCTCAACTTGTTGAGTATACTCAAGGCTGGTCCATTAGAGATATGTTTAACACTATGGAATATTTGATATTTCTGAATGATGGGTTTCACTTAACTAAAACTTATCTTTTCTCGAGTACGCTCAAGGCGATAAATTTTAGAGGCATGTTAAGTTACCACATAAAATGTGTGAAGATAAAGATTTGTCAGCTGAATGATCTGGGAGTTGTATGGAGCTACCCAAATGTTATATTAGGGCTTGTTGAGTACACTCAAAGTCTTAGTATAATAGATGGGATCCCAGCCCACTGAGAGTCAAGCATGGATTCCATAAATTTATGTAAGAGGGTCATAAATTTTAGTTAAACAGTGGGAACATAATTAATTTAATAAAAGTCCATGTTAAATTAATTGATGCATTTTATATATTATTCTTTCTTTTTTCGTCATTTATACTTATTGAATCTTGAGTAATCATATGTATTTGAATGGCATACTAGATGTCAACAACCAAACTAGATTTTCTTAATTGACACAGCAATTTGAGAATTGTTTTCATGCATGAGAAAATTGGTCACATCCTTGAGTAGCCCTTTCCAGAGACACCTGCTGATGACTCGATTAAAGAAGAGGTGGCTACCGAAATAAACGCAGTGATGACAATAGTATTGCAACGTATGTGATACTTGCAACTATGTCACCGAGTTACAAAAGCGACTCGAGAATATAAATGTTAACACATAATTCTTCATTACAAAGAGTTGTATGATAATAATCGTGTGTGGAAGGATATGAGACTTCCGAACAACTATACCGATGCAAAATGACAGAGTAATCTTCAATCAATACTTAGACACTGAAGATGATTTACGTTGAGAAATGTCTCAATTGAGTTCAATCATAAACCATGAACTAAATAGTGACTTGGTTCTGTAATCTCTGTCAGAGAAAGCTATTCATAACTAATTATCAATTTAACGTGAATAAGTTTGAAGGCACAATTATTGAGTTGCTTAACATGCTTAAGACCGTTAAGCCCAACATCGAAGTTAGTAGTGGGCAAGCCATTGATTCCTCTAAAGATATTAAGAGGAAGTCTAAAGGGGCTTCGTGCAAGTGTCCAATATGGTTAAGACAGTCTAAGCGAAGGACAATACCAAATCTAATGACCCTTGGTTTCATTATAGAATGAAAGGTCATTGGAAGGAATAGAGCGTAACTTATGTCTACTTCACGAGTTTTTTAGGTATTTGATACCAGATATAGATACCATATTTATACAAATATGGAGAAACTAAATAGAAGTAGACCACTGCGAAAGGGAGAAATTGACCTACACATTGAAGATGAGCAAATGTTGTTGCATTACCTGTATGAGCATACTTCTTGTCGTTGCCTTTTGACTTAGTAATGGAATTAGAGAAATGTTGCTTTGTACCCACCATAGCTAGAACATTAAAATGAATTTCATGTTCGGATATGAACTATTTTAATGTTAAGGACAATTGTTGTTCTTGTTTATCTTGATAAAGATCCTAATGGCTATGATAAATTACAAAACGACATTTATATTCTTTAATACTAAGGATTCTATAATGAGTATAGAAATTAAAAGGCATAAATGCGATAATCTAATTATTACCAAAATCTGGCATGACAGACTTTATCATTTAGATGATATATAATTCCAAAGTTACATAAAGACGTATACTTGGGATTAATTGATTTTGACAAGTACAAATTATGCATGTATGACACATTGACCAAATCTTCTTTTACTTGAAAAGAAGAAAGGTCAGCATAATTAATGGTCTAATGCATAGTGATGCATATGGACTTGTGTCAATTAATGTCAGATAATGTTTCTCTTATTTCATCAATCATCATGTATACTTGGTGAAAACTCAAACATGAAACTTTTGAAAAGTTCAAAGGATCCAAACTAAAAGTAGAGAAACAAATAGGTAAAGATACCCTTACATTAAGATTCAATCAAGTGAGAGTATTTTAAAGATAAAATCTAGATTATCTAAGAGAGAATGAGATTCTCTTGCAGTGGACTCCTCCACATGTACTGCAGCATAGTGGTGTATCTAAAAGGAGGAATTGTTAACTATTAGATATAATGCGATTAATATCAAGTCATGCAAATCTCCCAAAATTATTTTGAGGTCATGCATTGATTGCAGTGTGCAATACACTAAACTATGTCCCATCTAAATTGGTTAACAGAAATCCATACGAGTTATGAAAAGGCAATAGTCCCAATTTATCTTATATGAAAGCTTGGGGCCATAACGCTTATTTGAAGCGCCTTAAATCAGGATAAGTTTGAGACTAAATCTGATAAATACGTATTTGTGGGGATATTTAAAGCAGACATTTGAATATTAATTCTATTATCATGAAGAAAGTCTTCGTCTCACGACATATCATCTTCTTAGAGAAAATGTTTACTCTAGGAGAGGACAGTGGGAGTAAAATAGAATTTGAAATAGTTCAAGAGTCCACATATATAGTTAATCAAGTAGATAAATCCGAGTTTAATCCCATATCTGATATGGGACATAATTTGGATCTGGAAGTAAAGACCTCTGAGGATATATCAGCTCTATGTGAATCTAGTAGAATCATTCGACCTTCAAGAATGTGCGAATCTATGATCATTAATCAGGTATTAGTGATCCATGATAATGAACTGCTAGTTGCAACAAAATAAAGTCAAGTGTTGACCTTAAAAGAGACAGTAAGAGGCCATGATACTCGAGATGAACTCGGCGTATGTGAACAAGGTTTGGACCTTGGTCGAGCCTCCTGATGGAATGAAACCCCTAAGGTTTTGTAAATAGTTTACAAGGGAATGGTCGATGTGGATGTGAATATCGATATATACAAAGCAAGACTAGAAGTAAAGGTTAAATGTTGACCTTGGTGAAACCTTTCTCCTGTGGCCTTGCTGAAGTCCATTCGGGTTTTATTTGCAACAGTTGCATATCGTGGCTATAGGTTAAAATAAGTCTCTATGGAGCTGAAATCTTCGATTTGATGGAAAAAGTCAAAGTGTTTGATTTTATCAAGTTTGAAGACGAATTGTGTGTTTAAAAGAAGATAGTGGGAGCATTGTATTATTCCTAATATTATAGAAAACGACATCCCTATATTTCAATCATTGACATAACAGTTGTTAAAAGATTTATTCATGAACGATATGAGATAAGCAACTTGATCTATAGAGGTAGATCTAGAAGATTGCTTAACTCATCCCAATTTATATAGATGAAATTTTGAGAAGATTTCATATGGAGAAACTGGTTTATATGTTGGAAAGGTTCCAAACGTGAAGCAACCGTTGATTCAATAGTAGAAACCTAATACATGATTACTTTAGAAGTAGCAAAGAGTTGCAATTTGGATCATGATATTCATAAATGAACTTGGAGTAGTTACTGATATTGTTGATCACATACCATTTTATTGTGATAACAATAGAGCCATTGCGAAAGCAAAGGATCTAAGGTCTCATCAATGATCCAAACATGTATTAAGGCGGTATAATCTCATCAAAGAGATAATACATAAAAATGACGTAAAGAGAAGAACAAATTTCCACATTTAACAATATTGCAAATCCACTGACAAAGAGTTGTCGTCATATAAACATGATCGTCATGTAGACTTATGGTATTGGATACATAAGTTATTGGATCTAGTGCAAGTGAGAGTTTGTAAGTATTATGCCCTAAGTCCAATCAACTTTGGACATAAATATTTTTGATATATAATTAATGCAATTTAATGGTAGATCTATTATTTAATTAATAGACAGTTAAATAAATAATAGAGTCCGTAGATTCAAATATTCGTAATTTGTCAATCACAAAGAGTTGTGATTGTGAGATACAAATTACATCTGATTGATTCTTAAATCGTCCATGGTCGTAAGTGATAATGAGATACAGATATCGTTATTACGAATAGACTATCACGTGTGCCATTTCTTACTTGTGAAGTAAGTAACTGATCTCACAAGCTAAAGTGTGGTGACACTTAAATGAACACGTGGATGTTTTGTTATAGAACAAAATATTGGAGACCCGCCGAGAGATTCCACATGGATAACTATCTGAGTATCAGTGGTTAATCTCTAACGTTCGGTAGTGGAATTGGTCCTTTGACTTGAGGTCGTCATGGTACCTTATATGAGGACAGTCATACTTTGACGGTGTTAGATGTTGCTCTGTAAAGGGTCGCTAGTACGACATCGTTCGGGTACGTCAAGAATCGTATGAAGGTTGTGATTGATCAATAAAGGATTCGTCACTCTTAGATAGTAGGAGATTGTGATCTGCGTTTCATTCAATTAAGTCGATGATGAAATCCTTGGCCAAGGTGTGCTCATAAGTCGAAAAGGAGTTTTCGACTTATATTGACTTAATAGTGGAGTGAAAGATATGATCGATGATTGAGATTGACACATTTCATATCTCGTAATTGATCGAATCATATTGACGAAGGGATTATAGTTTCACGGTAAACGAACGAGTTTGGTTTTGTCACACCACATGATATTTCTCGTCACATGTACTGCCCTGACACATTGCTAGATGTCAATCAGGGACGGCAAGTGTGAATTGATGATAAATTAAAAAGATGTTTTAATTTATCAATTTTGATTAGATCAAAATAATATTTCACGTCGTTAGGTATCGTGATCGAGCACTTAATGGGTCACACATAAAAGAGAATTGGAAGATTTCAAATTATCAATTAGTTAATTTAACAATGGTTGGATAAATTAATTAATTAGATTTGTTATTTATATTCCTGAATTAATTAATTGGATTAATTAATTCACGGACCGGGTTTAATTAAATGGATTAATTAAATATTGGACCGGATCAGGTCAAGCCGAGCCCGTTTGGGTTTGTATAAATACATGGCTAAGGTTTGAGATCCATATGGTTTTCATTATTCTTGCTGGCACAAAAGGAAAACCCTGGTAGCTGCGATCTTGTTTTCTGTATGGATCACCATTGGAGGTTGGACAATTGGATAGTTGTGGGTGACGAATCAAAATTGCTGGAACGAGAAGAAAAACAAAAGGTTTGCAGAATTCTTCAAAAGTACAATCTTTATTACGATTTCTATCTAAACACAAAGGGATTCTCGGTAGGAATCGAAATAATTTTAATTTTTCGCCGTGCATGTATAAATAGATTCCCAACAGAAACTTGTGCCAATGAGTTGCTTGAAGGATCTCTCAAGCTTGTCGACATTTGTGGTATTGCTCGGGATGTTATAATTTTGATGAAGGAATCTGTTCAAGAACTCCAATTGTCTTTGAGGAGAAATAGAGGTATTGATGCATATATGACTTCAAGGGTAAAAATTGACAAAATGGTTAAAACGTGCATCAAAAATTTGAAGAGGTCCGAACAAAGATCTACAAACGAAGACAAAAATCCTAAGGTCATTGCAACATTACTAAAAGAATCATACGTCAATGGCTTTTCTGTCCTCAAGTCTGCATTGACCCTTTTTAGGTCAAAGCAGAAAACTTGGTCCCTCTCGTGCCATGTACATTCTCAAACAGAAGAAGAGAGCAATTCCCAAGAATTTTATGTCTTGAACACCAACAAATTGCGAAAAGAGATGGACACATTATCTGTGAAAGATGTCATGAAGCAGTCGAATGCATCAGAAAATGTCCATCCAGGAACTTGAAGAGAACTTAGAAGCCTTCTTTAGGAGTATAGTCAAAATTAGAGTTTCTCTTCTTAGTGTCCTGAGCCACTAGCCTCAGTTTATTGAGCATTATTTTCTAAATCACTGTCAATATGGATATAATACAATCAATGTTTTGGAACCTTCAACCCATTTCTGTAGATTTGTCCGTCAAAATATATATTAACGTGTTTTCCTTTCAAGATTTTACTTAAACCAAGCATACAAGTAGATTTACTTTCAGGGGCTAAACTTTCACCTTTTTTTTATTAACTTCAATTACTATAACACTCTGTCCATCTGTTTATCTTATTTTAACATATTTATAAACACAACAAGCACCTACAATTAATTGAAGCACATGGATCCGTTTAACTTAATTATTAAAAAACCAATGTGCTTGATTTTAGTAATGACAATATGATAATGCAACAGGCAGAGGCAATTATATTTCAGTAATGATTCCATTTTTTGAGCACGTTAACACATACTCTGCGTGCCTTATATTATATTCCTTCTTCGTCTGAAGATAAGCAACACCACAGCCTTAATGAGTTTAATGATCAACATTGTTAAATCAACTTCATTGATGTCATGATTCCTTGTGCTTCAAGAACAGTTGTGCATTATTTCGCTGATCTGCATGATCCAAATTTTCAGCTTAAAATGGATGCATTCTCTATAAAGAATAAAATATTCAGTTGCTATCCCCTTTCTATTTCAGATTGTTCGAACTAAGGTGTGATCCGAATTCTATTTGGAATGTTATTTGGAATCCTATTCAAAGTCTATTTGGCAAATTCTAATCGAAATTCTATTTAGAAGTCCAATTGGGAGTTGAAATTTGTGTTGGACTTGAAGAAGTCAAGATATGGATCAGGGAGAAATTTTCGGCACTTTTTCGTTAAAGGGTTTAGTTGTCTTTGGCTCATTCTTTTGCACATCTTGTTCTATGCTCTTACTTTGGCTCCATCTTTCCTTTTGTGAAAGCGACTATGAAAGTTACCAAATGAAATGGAGTCCCTATCCCTTGCTTGTCCATGTCCAATCAAAGAGTTTTCCATCCAGATCTCGTCCAATAGCTGCTAACATTAGTTCATCGCTAGTTCCCAATATCTATGTGTTTATATAGATATGCATGTTCGTGCACGCACACAAAATAATACACACACACAAAGAGTGTATATATTACATCTGACTAATACTTCATCCAGGTACACAAATTATGATGTAAATAAACACATAACACATGGCAGTGCTACAAATCAATGACAAATTCCCACATGGAAAGTAAGAGACTTTAAAGTAAATGAACAATTCTCAACAAAATGTACTTACCAATAAAAAGTACAAAGAGTCTTGGTTCATGAAGAGATAGAGATATAATGGCTTGCTTTTCATTGAATAAAGGTGAGGTATATATGCACGTACATGATGAGAATTGATAGCCAATCATATATTCTAAACTTAGCTAATTACCTAATCTATGGGATTTATTGTCAATCAAAATATTTACAATAGCTAATGGGATAATTACACAATTAATTCCTCTAATATGCCCCCTCAAGATGGAGCTCGCGTGGAGAGGCCAATCTTGATCTTCAAAGCTTGAAAACGAGTGCGTGAAAGAGGCTTGGTCAAGATATCGACTAGTTGATCTTCTGAGGACACATGGGCGACACGTAAAGCTCCACTTTGTACTTGATCCCGAATAAAATGATAATCAATTGCAACATGCTTCATTTGTGAATGGAAGACAGGATTGGAGCAAAGATGAGTTGCACCAACTTTATCACAATAGATAATCGAAACAGCAGGAATGCAAATGCCAAGGTCAGTGAGAAGAGAACAAATCCATTGTACCTCAGCAGCTGTAGAAGTGACAGCGCGATATTCAGCTTCAGTGAAGGAGCGGACAACTGTGCATTGTTTCTTGGAGGACTAGGAGATCGGATTACAACCAAGGTAAACAATGTAGGCACTGGTGGAGGTGTAGTCATCCTTATTACTAGCCTAGTCAGCATTAGAGAAGGCATGAAGAGATAGAGATGTGTAACGGTGTAAGGCAAGATCATGATCGGCTGTACCAGAAAGATAGTGAAGTAAACGCTTGACAGCATTCCAATGATCAATAGTAGGTCGATGCATGAATTGAGACAACTTATTAACAGCATATGCAATATCAAGGCGAGTGAGGCACAAATATTGGAGACTTCCAACAACTGTCCTGTATTCAGAAGGATCTATCAAAGCAGTGTCGGAAAGAATTGTAAGTGTTGGCTCGGTGGTAAGTGGAGTGGTGACAGATTTGGAACCTGTCATATTTGTGCGAGCGAAAAGATCTTTGATATATTTCTGCTAAGAGAGAAGTAAACTAGTGGAAGTAGTGGCAACTTCAATACCAAGGAAGTAAGTCAAGTCACCAAGATATTTGATGGAAAATCTTTTGCCAAGAAGATCAATAAACTGTTGAACTGCAGTGGCATTACTTCCAGTAATAATTATGTCATCAACATATACAAAGAGATAGACTTGATTACCGCTGGTGTTGAAGACAAAGAGTGATGTGTCCACATGAGAGTTTGTAAACCCAGAGGCTACAAGAAATTGTCTGAGCTCATGATACCAAGCCTGTGGTGCTTGTTTGAGACCATATATAGCCTTGCGTAACTTTCAAACATGTGTGGGATTATCACGATCAAGAAAACCTGGTGGCTGTGCCATGAAAACATCTTCAGAGAGATGACCTTGTAGAAAGGCATTGTTGACGTCAAGTTGACGAAGAGACCATCTTCAATTAATGGCAAGACTGAGAACCAAGCGAACAGTGGTGGGTTTGACAATTGGACTGAATGTGTCATGATAATCAACACCAGGACGCTGATGGAAACCTTTAGCAACTAGTCGCGCTTTGTACTTGTCAATTAAACCGTCAGGTAAACGTTTTATTCTAAAAATCCATTTACAATCGACAAGATTTTGCATTGAATCGGGGGTAAAAGTTTCCATGTCCCATTCTGCACAAGAGCATCATACTCCTCAGACATAGCCTAACGCCAGTTAGGATCTTTGAGAGCTTGGGTCAACGTGTGTGGTTCAAGTTGATGGGTCGAGGTGATGGTGGAAGTAAGATTAAGTTTTTGGATGGGTTTATGGATGTGGTTTTTAGTATGAGTGGTCATGGTATGGGTGTTGGTGGGCGGATTTGGAGGAGGGGAGTTCGGAGAGAGTAGTGAGGAATTACGGGGTGGATCGTGTGGGTTATTGTTGGTATTGGTAGAATGTGCTCGACTATTGGATGGCGGGGCTTGGTCTAGTGAGGTTTCGGTTACGGGATGTGGAGTTTCAGAGTATGTGGGGTGGATGGAGGATGTGGAGTGGTCAACCATAATGGGAAGAAATGACGATGATGGAAACCAATTTGGAAGTGTTTCTGGATTTGGTCGACTAAGATGATTGTGAATGGATTTGAATGGAAAGACAGATTCCACAAATTTGACATGACGGGATGTATATATTTTGGAAGTGGAAGGATCAAGACAGAGATAGGCACTTTGGGTGTGGGAGTAGCCAACAAACACACAAGGGATGGATCGAGACTCAAGTTTATGACTAGAATAGGGGTGAAGCCATGGATAGCATAAACAACCAAAGATACGGAGTTTTGTGCAGTTTGGTGGTGAGCGAAAAAGGGACTCATAAGGAGAGGAAAGGGAAAGTGTGTGGGTATGGGCATGCGATTAATGAGATATACAGCGGTTGCAAAGGCATAGTTCTAGTATATGAGTGAAAGTGAGGCATGAGTGAGTAGAGACAGACTGGTTTCAACAATATGTCGATGTCGGCATTCAGAAAGACCATGATGTTCAGGTGTATGTGGGGGAGAGGTGAGATGAGAAATTCCATGACGGGACAGAAATTAATCTAATGCTTGATATTCACCACCATTATCGATGTAAAGAGTGACAATGGATTGTTTGAAGTGGTTTTCTACTAGTGCCTTGAAATGAAGAAAGACATCACGACATGAGATTTCTTCTTTAATGGGCTATACCAAAAATAACGTGTAAAGTGATCAACAAAAATAACATAACACTTGAAATCATCAACATAATGAACGGGGGAGGTCCAAACATCCGAAAATATGATTTGTAAGGGGTGAGATGAAACAATCGTAGATATAGAAAATGTAAGCTTTTGACATTTATTGCTTAAACATGCATTACAATGAGAGTGTTGTGGCTTAGAATACGGTAAAGAAAATGTTGACATAATATGCTGAAGAATAGGTGTTGATGGATGACCTAATTTGGAGTGCCACTCGGAGAAAGTGGTCTTGACGCTGGAAAAGACAATGAGCGGAGAGGACAATGTTGGAGAGGAGGTTGGCCACTCATAGATGCCATCTTTAGTGTTTCCAATCGAAAGGATTGCCCCCGTGCTCAGATCCTTTATATGAAAGACAGTGGGTAAGAATTCAATAGAAACATGATTAATATTGTAAAATTGATAGATAGAAATAAGGTTCTTTTTTATATTAGGTATGCAAAGAATATTACGTAAATTAAAGGTACGAGTAGGAGTAGGAAGTGTGGTGGAACCAGTATAGGTAATGTGAAGACCCGAGCCATCGCTGATCATAACGTCATCAGACCCTGCATAAGGAGTGTGAAGTGAAAGATTATTCAAATCCGTGGTGACATGGTGCGACGCCCCACTATCAAGTATCCATTTGGGGGTGTCAGTGGTGTCAAGAGATGCAAAGTGTGCACGCGATTGCCAAGGAGAAACATGATGTGGAGCCTGTGGGCGTGTTGCTGAAGGAGCCAATGAGGATTGGGTGTTGATAAGTCGATAAATAGGGCATCATTTGACAGTGTGCCCCTGAACACCACATCCTTGGCAATGCCAAGATATGGACGTGGTGGAGGACGAGCATTACGAGAAGCATTGGATTGTTGATTATGAACGGTGTTTGTGGAAGGGCGCCAAGAATGATT